GACCAGGTGAGGAAAGTGAGGGTGATAGAGACGAAGGAGTTCACGATATTTGGTCCAACAACAGATATTCAGAATTTGGAGATCGACCCAACTAAGTGGGTCTGGAATCTCAGGGGGGCCTCACTAGGCACAACAAGAAGAACTAACATACTCCACTACACAACCAAGCTAGGGTACAGACTCAGGAAGCGCTCATCTCCATTAGCCGAACCCTTGGCACTTAGATGGGAGAAGAAAATGCAGAAACCAAATGAGAAAGTGGCAGATCCTTCCAAGTAAAGTAAGGAGCTTGCACTGGTTGATCCTCCACGTCGCAGACTCGGTCAACTCGTGGCTTCTTGAGCGTCGCAGTCAACACCACCATGATCCCACCATTCAACATTGCACACAATGTACAGAAGGAGTATCGGAGACCTTATGTCAGTGTCTCCTTTCTTTCCCAGAAGCAGTATACCTGTGGGACGTGGCCAAGACGCTCTGGGCTAAAATCACAGACTCCCCCTTCCCCGAGGGTAAGGAGACGCTTCTGATAGGAAGTGGACCGCCTACTGCATGGCCTCACTACCAAAAGTGCATATTCCAACTTTTAAGGTAATACGTATTGTGGAGAATATGGAAGCGCAGATGCCCGCAGGCCATCGGAAACAAGCAAATGCACAGGCGAGAAGCGAAGGAGACATTCTACAATCTAGTGGAGACAAACATTCAGGCGCAAGGAAGGGAATCCCCAAGCGGGCCCAGCAAAACCCAATGCAAGCCAAGAACCTAATGGAGAATTTTTAAAAGAGGGTATTGATTCGAGGGAAGATAGCAACACCTGCTTCCATTGCTTTGAAAGATAGACGTATCGAACAGGAAACAACTAGGGTCGGGTTTTGGAGAGGTATTTTAAAGCACAGGTAAGACAGGTCAAGGTTTAAGGCGAGGTTAGATTGAAAGAGAGAGGGGAGGGAGAAGTCAGGCAGAGGAAAATAGAGGTAGGTTTAGGGAGTAGCGTGTTAGGACACTCTGCACGGGTTTCAGTTCTTCCATATCTCACTTCTGAATCAGCCCTATCACTTCTTAAGTGCAACCTAGGGGTAGAACAGTCAGTTCTCTCGGCTCCCAAGCGCAACCTAGGGATTGGTTGGAAGGTTCTTTCCTTTATTTCTATTTGTCTTTTGTCAATCCTGTTCGGTTTTTGTTCAGGAATAGCATGTAGCTTGATAGGAGGAAGGGCCTTGATAGGAGGAAGGGACACTGGACTCGGTTTCCAGCATGAGCCTAATCTAGGTAATGGCCCTAGTCTTCTGGGTTGAGATGTGGAGGGACTCTCGGCCTCCTTTGTTCTAAATATAATGAAGCATGCTATTTGCTTTAAAAAACAAAAAAAAAACAAAGAACCACAGGTGCTACAATGTGTCCACTGCGGGAAAAGCCCTGAAACCACAGGTGTTGCAGCACACGGCAAGAGAACAGATGAGCATACCAGAAATGACAATGGTAGCACGCAAATCAGCAGCAGTGGATATAACACTTTATCGCAGGTGCTCCGATATAGTACTCTATCCACAGGGAGCAACATGCCAAGTCCCACAAAGGCCCAGCTTAGAGTCCCCTCAGTTGTCCCAGAAAGCCAACTCCTGAAAGAAACATTGGCGCAAGCCGCAAGGCATTTTCAAGACGGGATTTTTGCATTCCACCAGAGCAAGAGGAGGAAGACCAAACATGGGTAGCAGGTCTGTGAAGTAAAATATATTTGTAGAAGGAAACGAGCACATGCAAATCAGGATGAACCACAACATTTCCCGTTGGGGGTCGAAAATTTGAAAACCCAACAATCCAAAATTTTGAGAAGATATGGTTGAAGCCTAACTAAACTTTGACAACCCAACATAAGAAACTCGTCATGTTCGAAGCTCAAGTAAACTTTTAGCTCTGAAGGTAGCAGAATCTCAAACAGAAGTGGAACACAAAGTAGACTTTGTAACGATTACAAAAAGGACACCCAGTTAGCGTTGCTATGTTTTCTTGGAGTAAGACCTTCTTTTGAAAGTTATCCGTTAACTCCTTGGCTTGCATTGGGTTTTGCTGGACGTGCTTGCGAATTCTCTTCCATTGCGTCCGGATGTCTGTTTCCATTAGGTTGTAGAATGTCTCCTTCGCTTCTTGCCTGTGCATTTGCTTGTTGCCGATGGCCTGCTCGCACCTATGCTTCCATATCGTCCATCGTACGTATTGCCTTATTAACTGGAATGCGCGCTTCTGGTAGTGTGGCCCCACCATAGAAGGGTCATTTCCTATCAACAGCGTCTCCTTGCTCTCAGGGAATTCAAAGGAGAGTCTGTAATTTTGGTCCAGAGTGACTTAGCGACGCCCCATAAATATACTGTTTCTGGGTAGGTCAGGGTAGAGATACTTAAAAGGAGAAGATATAATAGCAATAACAGAAGGCTAGACATACGGTTTTAACTTCCAAGATGATTAAGGCAGGATAAGGGAGACCTTAGGAAAAGAGAGACTTGTGGGCTTCCGTGGGGTTTAGGGTTTAAGCAGATCTGACAGAGAAGTGGAGCGGTCGGAGGTAATGGAAAAATGAACAATGGCGGGCAGCTTAAGCGCCTAAGACGGCGATGCCCTAGTAGATGGATGGTTGTGTGGAGTGCAAATTTTGAATGAGTGCATGGTTGATCGTGCTGTTGAGTCCTGCTCTGTCTGTGTAATTCTCTGTTATTGTTCTTCCTCAGCTAGCTCACCAGGTTGTTTCGTATATTTGCAGGCGAACGGTGATCCTTTTGAAATCCGAATGTTAGGACGAATATTTTTTTTTTGTGTAGATTAGGCTAGGGTATACTCATAAGGGTAACGATGGCACCTTGTTAGAGTTGGATGTGGGACGGAAGAAGGACCTAAGCTACTTGCCATCCCAGCTTCTCACCGGACTCCCAAAAAGGACCTCAGCCACCGGGGCCTGGATAATCCACTCAGTGCCCCGTGCGGGTAGCAATTTTTCTAAGGGGATGGGGGGCAAACCACGATAGAGGGGGCTAGGTGATGAAGAAGGACTCACTGACATTCATTGTGAAGGAGATTCTCCTATGAATAGTGTGCAGGTAGTATTGGGATAGTTCTCAAGTCTTCTTTTGAATATGACGGATGTTGTGCCATGGTTGATCTCTTGTCTGGAACTTACGTACCCCAATCATCTCTCTAATACTTTTAACACTGATGTCACTGATGTGATGTAACCACTGCAAACGACCAGAATCATCGTTGTGTACAAAGCAAGCTTGAAGGGGTCGCGATCTGCCAAGCTAGCTGTTTTGGCTTCCAACTTCCAATGTCATGCATCCGCCGTTAGCAGTGCTCTCTGATCCTGGTTGCATCTCGTAGTGTAGGCTAGCATAAGTTCAGAGAAGTGGTGTGTTAGGCGTTGAGCGCCAATCAAGAAGGGCAACAATGGATACATTGTTGATGGTGGCGAGAAGAGGCTAACACTGACATTTGAGTTCATTGTATTGCTCTTATTTGGCTTGTAAAAAAAAAAAAAAAAAAAAAAAAAAAAAAAAAAAAACAAACAAACAAAGAAACAAACAAACAACAAAGACACCCAATACAACTCGCAAAAATGGCTTAAAACTGATAGTGTCTCGTACTGCAAAGTGTGATGTGCACTTGAAACAATATACAGTTCTGCCAAAAAGAGGCGACTGAGAAGTGTCTGTCAAATATCTCACTACCTGCAAAAAAGTGGCGTCTCAAAACAGAAAGAGGCAAGAATCAGATATGTAACTATTTTGACCAACAGACGAACATCGAAAAACCGAAGCGGAATCAAAGAAAAGGCCCAACAGTAGTTTATGGAAAGGAAAACGAACTACTGTTGACCGTGAAGTAAACACTCTTGGTCAAAACAACTCACAGAAAAGCTATCCTTAACTGATGGAAGTAATGAACCAGTCGCTACTTCCATGTCCCCAGCATCAGCAATGACGGCAAGAACAAACCAGCGGCACGAACAACCAAGCTGCGGCAGCAGCAAAATCACGAGAATATGGCTTAGTGACAGCAGCAGATGAAAGACCACCTAAAATGGGCTTACCGACAACAGCAGTGTTAGCAGTAGATAAAAGCCCACTAGACAGCAGCCAAGAAAAGGAGAGTAGCAGCAACATTAGAAGCAACGGCAACAGCAGCAACAACAACAGCCGTGGAAATAGCAATTTGCAGCAGCAGTAGTGCAAGCAAGGGAACAAAGCAACAAAAACGGATCTTGGACTACAGCGCAGCAACGGTGGTAATTATAGAACTATATCACAGCGTCGATAGTTATAGAACTATATCACAGCAGCAGTAGAAATGGCAGCAGCGATGTAGGACTTTAACAACCAACGATGTTTCTGGACTTAAAACGATATAGGACTATAATACAACAGCAGAGRCAAAACGTAAACACTACCAGCAGCGGAGAAACCACAAAAGCAGCACCAACAGAGGACACACGATTAAGAAAAGCAAGGAACGAAGACAAAACTTGAACAGCCAGAGTAGTGGATGGTGGCTTTCAAAGCAAGGCAAAAGCGACAGCTAGCAAACCAGTGACGAGGGGAATATGCAAATGCCAAAACTTTTAGCTGCCCCCTGATAAATGAAACAAAGTGTGCACAGTGCTCGACCTTTCCTTCCAAGAGAATTTAATCTCTTGAGGGTGAATGGTTGCTCATGACCGCCACTTACTGGCAAGGTCTACCTCGGCTCTTGTCGGAATGCAACCGAACGACATGTGCACACTGACAAAGCTAGGACATCTACTAAGTTACAGATCTGAAAATAATTGCAAGAGCGCAGACGATATATAATATTATAACGAAAAGTTGTTATAGAACTATATGTGCCCTTACAAGAGTTTAGAGACCTGTACCTAGGCAAGTCAACGTGCGCGGCTGCGCGGACCTACCACGACGCCACTCAGGGAGCTAACTACCTCCTCTCCACCGATCTTTCTTTTACAACCACGAGTATTGCCCGTGGCTCTGTTGGAATCCTGGCTCCGTGTGACGTCTTCCCTCTAAGGATCCGCAGACAGTCTGGTGACTTCACCAGTCTCGACAGTGACTGCGTGCTGATGAGAAAGTTCGCCTTCTTCACGCTCGTCCTGCAGCGCAGGCAGTTTGCGCTTCTTCCACGCTGCGCCGAAATCCTCCCTCTTTACGCCATGCTGAACGGCAGCGACCACAACTTTTTCTGCCGCAGAAGGTACATTCACCCTTTGCTGCTGATCTGCAGGCAGCGCCACATCCGTCCCCTGCTGTTGGGCAACTGTTGTTGCCTCTCTGCTGACACTGGCCTCCGCTGTAGACTGGCCCGCTGCTAAACAACCAGGAACCGACTCCTGATTCTCACTGGTCTTTTCGTGTGTCACCGGTTCGTCGTCCCCGGAGACCTCAATGTCCGCATCTTGCTGGTGTTCCTTCCCCTTGCCCTTTCCCTCTCTCGGCTTTTCTCTTCTTAATGTCTCCTCGATGTCGGTGAGAAGTCTCATCCAGATTCCCTTTGCACAGCGTTTGTCCAGTTCCACAACAAGGCAGTTCCTATCTGCCAAAACGCAGGCAATGGCCCCCGCACCTATCCAGAGAAGCCGTCCAAAACCGTGGCGTCGGGAGGTGAGAACTTCCTGACCAACCAGAAGTACAGAGTGTACGGCTTTTGGTACGGACACAACACCAAGTTGTCACTCAGGTGCACAAACTTGCGCGTGACCATATCAAAAAGCTGAAAATTGTGGCATGGATCGGTCGGGGAAAAGTTATAATGAGCCATCTCATGGTGCCCCGTCACATTGTAGTACCCCAGCACGCAGAACTCCGTCGCACTGACAAGCCTGGGGCCACCGGGATTTGTCACGTTGGGCTTGCACCACGTGAGAAACTCTTGGCCAGCATTGCAGACTTTCGCAAACGCAGACCGGACTGAGGGAAGCATGTCCACAGAGCAGAAACCAGCGACTGTCCACAGCGCTGCGCTGGTTACCTACTTGACATTCTGTAGCACATCCACAATGTCATGCTCAGGGAATGGCTCCGTGTCACGTGCATGACCTTTATAGGCAGAACCGTAGGGAAAGTCAAAGATAGCGAGAGAAATCGKCAGTTTTTTCTTCAAYAGCTGTGACAAATGCAACATGTCACCCTGAATCACCTTGACCAGGTCTGCGCACCCATCATGTTTGACCTCCGTCCAATCAGCGAAAGGCTCGTCCAAAGCCGCAGCTCGAAAGAAATTGCGAGTTGCTCTTTCTGCCTCCTTTATTCTCTTGTCCTCCATCTTCCTCCACTCCTTAGCTCGTTCTATGTGGTCCAACAAAGCAGTGGGCTTAGCCCCGCACCTGTCAAAATTGCCGATGAAGGGTTTAAGAACATCCGTTGTGGTGTGCAAAGGATACAATTCTTCAGCAGTTTTGAAGTCCTTGCACTTCACACCATCGTAGAAGGTCTTCGCGACGTAGCCAAATTTCTTGACGACCTTGAACTTCCTCTCCATTTCGTCGAGGGAGATCTGTTTGAAGGTGACCACCGTCAGAACAGGGACGATTGCTTCCGGAGGGATGTTGCCCATCGTAATGCATGGCTGCGCGGGCATGTCGAATGGCACCATCGGGATTTTGTTGTCCTTTAACTTCAGGCGGGGATTGAAAAACGCCATCTCCTGTTCCCTTGCCGCTGCCTTGTCCAGCCTTTTCCCTTTCCTTGTCTGCTTCCCGCCTTCAGATTCGATGGATTCTGGAGTGACCTCTGTACGAATCTGGCTCTTTGCCACAGGCTTCAATTTCTGGTCCTTCACCTCTCTCCTCTTCCACATCTCAAAAATCTTCAACTGCAGGTCCCAGATCTCTTTCGGGCGCATGGCAATCTGCAACAGCGGGTCATTGGTCTACATCTTCTTTGGATTGACTGGTATCCCATACTCACGCAGGCAAGCTATCTTGACATCCGCAATCTTCACAGAGCCCTTTCGTTCGAAGACATTCCGCCAGCATTTCATCTTTTCGATGAAGTTCATGTCTCTGTGGTAGCGAGCTGCCAGATTGTGCTTGTGTGCCATCTGCCTTGCCTCATCCGTCGAAAGGCCTGCATAGACATAGCAAACATTCCAGTTGTAGTCGTGCATATCCGGGTAGATCTGTCTCGGTCGTTCTCTCGCCTCCCGACAATGTCCACCTCCAAGCACGTAAATGTTGTAGCCGCCCCTTCTCAACCGGTCGAGATCCACTTCCGACTTGTCTTTCACTTCCTCTGGATCCACGACACCAACGAAGGGAAGATGATCTCCAGTCGGGCAAGCGATCATGGAGTCCATGAACGTCGAGACATGATTTTCATCAAGCTCCCGAACCTCCAAAGACCTGTTTCCGGTCCCATCCACCGAGGGTCTCTTGAGACATGTCATGGGCAGATAAAATGGCTCTTGGGAGATTTTCTTCTGCTGCAAACTTTGAAGTTCGTCCCAGGCCCGTACCATCTCGTCGGTAAGTTCTCCTGGCACGAGACCTCGAGGTACTTGCAGCTCCTCTTGTGCAACTTTCTCTTTCTCTTTCCCAGACGCATTACCTATCCCTTTCCCTTTCTCGGACGCGGTAGCTTTCCCTTTCCCATTGTCAAACGCAGCAGGCTTAGTAGTGCACATCTTCTTTTTTCCACCCCTCGCTTTCGTGCTCGATCCTCTCTCCAGAGGTCCTGATGACTCCACACATGTCTGCGGGGAAACAACATCAGTCGCAGTCCTCGGTCTCTCACGCGAACTTCTGTGTCTCGACGGGCCGGGGGTTGCGATCCCTGCAGGCTTTGGCTCCGGCTTGAATGGAAGAAGATTGCGAGTCAAACGGGGACTTAAGTAATGCGCAAGTTCTTGAAAGAATCTTTGCACACACAAGCAAAAACAACTGCGTCAAAGAACACATGAGTGAAACGAGAACACAGTCATAATAACAACAGAAAAATCACCAGCAATGAAAATAGCACCAAACCAACAGCAGGTTTAGGGTTTAGGGTTTAGGGTTGAGGGTTGAGGGTTTAGGGTTCAGAATTTAGGGTTTAGGGTTTAGGGTTCAGGGTTTAGGGTTTAGGGTTCAGGGTTTAGGGTTCAGGGTTTAGGGTTACTCAGAATTCTCAGAATTTTTGTTTTGTTTTTCTTCAAAAATCCATGACCTTACGTAGGAATTATGCGCGGCTTCGCAAGCGCGCTAGGAGTTTTGTTTGGCAGTTGGGGACCCCGGAATTTGTCAGCGCACTTCCCGCAAACGTGTCCTTTCTTGTTTGTGAGTGTTTCCAAATCCGCCTCAGAAAGCTTGGTGAAATTTCTGTAGGAACATGAATAGGCGTAGGTTGTGTGTCTTTTTAACGGGGAACAGGGAAATTAAACTCCCGTTGAATCCAATTGAAACTGAAAAAATCCCGTTGAAATCCCGTTAAACGTGAAAATGAGCCGCTACTGCGGTTTTCGGAAAAACTGAAATGATGCGCGGTGTCCGGAATACGTGGCCCTAGGCACCTGCGCACTCACCCCCCCCCCTAAAAAAAAAAAAAAAAAGCATTCCCCCAACCCCTGAAACCCTTCTCTACAAACGCTTGGACGCCGTTGTCGTGGCAAATATATGGATCTCCTTATAGCGGAAGCCACCCGACGGCTGTGCCCAACGTCTGTAGCTCTCAGACTTACGAATCGACCTTGCGACGCAGAAGGATCTTGTCGGTGTCTCGCATGGATACCGACCGCTTTAAGGTAACAATAATTATTTCGGGGGTCGGACTGTGACTTAAGGGGGGTAGAAACTAGTTTCGGGGGCTTGCACAATTACTTTTGGTCCGACTCACCGCTGTTAGGGTGCAGAAACTATTTTGGGAGAGCGAGCGGGATTTGAGATCGTTGCATATAATTTTGGGGTCTGCACAATTTTGCGGGGGGTACGCTTCACCGCTAAAGGGGTATAAAAAATATTTTGGGGGTCCGACACTTGTTTAAGGGGGGTAGAAGCTGATTTCGGGGGTTGAAACCATGACTTGGAGGGTACGACCGCCATCCCCTTTTCCTCCCAGAAATTATTTTTGGGGTCCGACACTTTGTTAAGGGGGGTACAAGTTATTTTGAGGGTCGGAATGATTTTTCGGGGGGTACAGCCCACCGCTAAAGGGATAGAAAATTTATTTTGGGACCTAACCCCCAGGTCATTCTTCGCACCCCAAAATTAATTCCACCCCCTCAAAGTGAGAATCCGACTCCCAATATAATTTTTGGACCCCTATAGCGGTGGGTCCTAACCCCCAAGTCATTCTTGGCACCTTGAAATTAATTTAACCCCCCCAAAGCTAGATTGTTGGATCGGACGTCCGGGACCCCCCTGACCGTCCGGGATGTTCGACCGGACAGGGTATGTCCGACCTAGCGCAAAAAAAAAAAAAAAAAAAAACAATCTTAGAAAAATTTGAAAACAATATATGTTATGTAATATAACAATACAAGCAACTTTTTCCTTGGAGTCATGTTCAAATTCGCATCCAATCGTGAGTAAAAAATCAAAAAACGAAAAAAAAAAAAAAAAAAAATTGGAAAAAATTTTTTTTTTTGGAAAAAAAATAATTGTTTTTCCGTACGACGGGGGTACCGGACGTATGGGGAGACGTTCGGGGGAGACGACAGGCCCCCGGACCATTGGTAACCTAACCCCAAAGTGAGAATCCGAACCCCTATATAATTTTTGCACCCCTATAGCGGTGCGTCCTAACCGTGAGGTCATTCTTCGCGCCCCGAAATTAATTTCACCCCCCCAAAGTGGGAATCCGAACCCCTATATCATTTTTGGCTTGGAGTTATGTTCAAATTCGCATCCGATCATAAGTTAAAAATCAAAAACTGAAAAAAATATATATATTTTTTTTTTGAAAAAAACAAATTGTTTGTCCGGACGACGGGGGTACCGAACGTATGGGGAGACGTCCGGGGGAGACGACCAACCCCCGGACCATTGGTAACCTAACCCCAAAATGAGAATCCGAACCTCTATATAATTTTTGGACCCCTATAGCGGTGCGTCCTAACCGTGAGGTCATTCTTCGCACCCCGAAATTAATTTCACCCCCCCAAAGTGGGAATCTGAACCCCTATATAATTTTTGGACCCCTATAGCGGTGGGTCCTAACCCCCAGGTCATTCTTTGCATCCGGAAATTAATTTCATCCCCCCAAACTGAGAATCTGAACCCCTATATAATTTTTGGACCTCTATAGCGGTGGGTCCTTACCCCCAGGTCATTCTTCACATCCCGAAATTAATTTACCCCCCCCCAAAGTGAGAATCCGACCCCCTATATAATTTTTGGACCCCTATAGCGGTGGGTCCTAACCCCCAGGTCATTCTTCGGACCCCGAAATAAATTCCAACCCCCCAAAGTGATAATTCAGCCCCCTATATAATTTTTAGACCCCTGTAGTGGTGGGTCGTAACCCCCAGGTCATTCTTCATATCCCGAAATTAATTTTACCCCCCAAAATGAGAATCCGACCCCCAATATAATTTTTGGACCCCTATAGCGGTGGGTCCTAACCCCCAGGTCATTCTTCGCACCCCGAACTTAATTTAACCCCCCCCAAAGTGAGAATCTGACCCCCTATATAATTTTTGGACCCCTATAGCGGGGGGTCCTAACTCCCTGGTCATTCTTCGCACCCCGAAGTTAATTTCACCGCCCCAAAGTGAGAATCCCACCCCCAATATAATTTTTGGACCGCTCTAGGTCATTCTTGGCACTCCGAAATTAATTTCACCCCTCCAAAGTGAAAATCCAAACCCCAATATAATTTTTGGACCCCTCTAGCGGTGGGTCTTAACCCCGAGGTCATTCTTGGCACCCCGAAATTAATTTAACCCCCCAAAATGAGAGTCGAACCCCAAATATAGTTTTTGCATCCCTTCAGCGGTGGGTCCTAACCCCCAGGTCATTCTTCGACCCCCAAAATAATTTTTTACCCCTTTAGCAGTGGGCCGTAACCCTTGCAAAATCGTTCAGACCCCAAAATAAAATTGCACCCCTCTAAGCTCCCGCTCGCTCTCCCCAAATAGTTTCTGCACCCCGAAATTAATTTAACCCCCCCAAAGTGAGAGTCGAACCCCCAATATAGTTTTTGCACCCCTTCAGCGGTGGGTCATAACCCCCAGGTCATTCTTCGCACCCCGAAATTAATTTGGGGGTAGAAGCTGATTTCGGGTCGGAACGTTGACTTGGGGGGTACGACTGACCGATTTAAGCTAACAAAAATTATTTCGGGGGGCGGACTGTGAGTTAAGGGGGGTAGAAACTCGTTTTGGGGGTTTGCACGATTACTTTGTAGTCCGACTCACTTGTGTAAGAGTGCAGAAACTATTTTGGGAGAGCGAGCGTGAGTTGAGATGGGTGCAATTTAATTTTGGGGTCTGAACGATGTTGCGGGGGTTACGGCCCACTGCTAAAGGGGTAAAAAATTATTTTKGGGGTCCGACACTTCGTAAAGGGAGGTAGAAATTGATTTCAGTTGGAAACGATAAGTTGGGGGTTACGACCGATCACTTTAAGGTAACAAATATTATTTTGGGGGTCGGACTGTGATTTAAGGTGGGTAGAAACTAGTTTCGGGGGTTTGCACAATTACTTGGGGGTCCAACTCACCTCTGTAAGGGTACAAAATTTTTTTTGGGAGCGCGAGCTTTAATTTTGAGTTTCGAACGATTTTTCTGGGGGTACGACTCAACACTAAAGGGGTAGAAAAATTAGTTTTGGTGTCCGACACTTTGTTAAGGGGGGTAGAAGTTGATTTACGTGGTCAAGTTCTGACACTTTGTTAAGGGGGGTAGATAATTTCTTTTCGGCAAGGTCAAGTTTAAAGAATTAGGTACCTAGCTTTGCGGGTTCCCAAAGTTGATTTGCGTGGTCAAGTTCCGACTCTTCGTTAAGGGGGGTAGAAAATTTATTTTCGGCAAGGTAAAGTTTAAAGAATTAAGTACCTAGCTTTGCGAGTTCCCAAACATCGCAGTTTTGAAAAGGAAGCTATAAGACTAAAAAAGAAGTTGGTCAAAAGTTATCTTGCGTGTTTTCGACGAGGTCAAGTTAAAAAAATTAAGTACCTACCTTTGCGTGTTCCGAAACATCGCAGTTTTGAAAAGGAAGTTTTTAGACTTCAAAAGAAGTTGGTCAAAAGTTATCTTCAGTGTTGTCGACACAGGGCCACATGACCATTTGTTAACCCGGGTGGGAATTCAGATTTTCACCGACCCTGTTAAATGTTTGCACTAGCAAAACAGTCCTTTAGGACTGTTAAGCCAACCCTTGTCCAAAGTCTTTGAGGTGGCATTAATAGGCTGTTAAAGATTCTCAATGGCAAGTACGACGTTTATGACTTTAAAGCGATTTTTTTTTACCTGTGAAACACACCTTTCCACTGAGGATGCTTGCAGGACTCTGTTACAATCCGACCAAAAGTCTTGCCCGACTAAATCTTGATAAAAGACTGTAAAGCGTTGTTTCTTGTCTCGTATTTGGACAAACGTTTGTGAAAAACCCTTAAGGTTGCTCTAGTTTGTCGTCAATTGTTTACGTTGTGAACGAGGACGTTATAGGATTATAAAACGTTTCTCTTGTGTTGTTAAAAACACCTGTCCGTTGGATGGATTGGATGTCAAACCTCAGCCGAAGGTGTAAGACGTGGCTTGTCAAACGAATCTGTTATAGTCTTATATGTCGAACTTGATATTGTACCTTTCCACTGAGGATGCTTGCAGGACTCTGTTACATCTCGATCAAAGTCCTTCTAGGCTAAATCCTCGATATAGGACTATAAAGTGATGTTTCTAGTCTGGTAATTTCAGAAACTTTTATGAAAAGTCCTTAAGGTGGTCCTGGTTTGTCGATAATTGTTTGCATAATTAAGGAGGATGTTATAGAACTATAAACCGTTTCTCTTGTGCTGTTAAAACTACCTGTCCATTGGAGAGATTGGACGTTGAACCTCAGCCGAAGGTGTAAGACATGGCTTGTCAAACGAATCCGTTATAGTCCTATAAGTCGAACTTGCGATTTTGGCGAAAGAGGACCAGGACATTATTTATTTGTTTCACCTATTTCTCCGTAGGTAGAAAACATTAAAAATTAGAACGGCCGGGCAGTTGTGTAATCCTCGTCGATGCCATTTCTCTTTTTCGAGCAATTATGGAAATGGCGATTCTTTGAGGAAGCAAAAGTGTGAAAGTTTAGACTTTTCTCAACACCTAAAATTCGGGGTGCATCAATGGGTAACAATTTCGGTTTTTCTAGCTCATTTTGTGCTTTGGCCCTTGAAGTGTTTCCCGCAAAACTATTTTTAATCGTTTTCTGCATTCGATTTTGCTTTACCTTGAATCCACCTGCACTAAGAGGGCTCAAAACTCGTGTTTCCCGAAATTTTCAAACGTTCTGTTCAAACCCAGTATTTTGTTTTGTTGGGTTTTCACGAATTCTCTGTTTTAGTCCAAATATGTAAGCCAGGTTCGCCCGTGCGCCACAGTCCGTCGCGGCCCGCACGTCAACTCCGCATACTCAGCACCAACTCGTCGGATCGCACAACTCTCGCACTCACTCACCTTCCAAACTATCTCGTTAGCCGACYCTCACTGATCGCTCTAACCTCGAAATGCTTAGAGAGCCAGCTAATCGTGCTTGGAKAATTTATAGCATGTSTGCTTGYGCGATGTACTCGGGATTACGCCTAAGSAAAGGAAAAGAGGAAGTGYCTACGTTTGCATGTCCAGGATGCGGCGCGGGGGACAGAGCCAYTCTCCGYRCATCGATCMGGGCATGCAAACGTAGGAACAAATCAGGCCAGGGAAGAAGGTGTGCATGCGCGGGCGAAGACAAGGCGGGAAAAGGGAAGAACATGAAAGACATTAAGAATAAGAACATTACAGTTGCAATCACACCCGCCAAAACTTCACAGTTTCACGCAAGATTAAGGTTTGGAAAAGTCAGAGCTCAGATCTTGTCGCGACAAGGCGTGCGTAAGCAAGAAGCGCTGCACAAYAAAATYCAAAAGGTGYCTAAATTCCTAGCTTAAGTYCTAATTGCAAAAGAAAATTYTRAATAGGCAAAARAAAAACAWTTCCGAGAGCCCGTGGGGGCTCGAYATCAAATGAAATTTGAAAAACGACATTCCCGCGCGCAGATCATGCCAAAATTCTCAGTGCTCACAGTAGAACAAGAAAGAAGCTATGGTACATTTATTTCTCAAGCGCGCTAAGGCACGGCTACCCAACCGTTGGCACAGGATTTTCCCGACACCGATCCGACAACTTCCAGCAGAAAACAAAAAAGAAACGAGGGCATGTATGCAACTAGCCCAGCCAACCCTCTCCACGCATCTCACCCGGCTAACCCATCCCGTTCCCCCACATCAAACTTCGTGCAGAAAGTCGCGCAGTTATAGAAAATAGTTCGTCACATATGTGACGCCCAGGGGGTTCCAATCTTGAGCAAGCTCCCGCTTGCTCTCTCATCAGTTGCCGATCGAAGATCCGATGATCGATGCAGAGCTCGCACGTGCCACTTACTGTAAGATCCGAGTGTGAAAGTCATCCAATCGTGGCATACGTAGGCTCAATCCAAAACATGGCCCCGGAAAGGTAATGTAATTACGGTTGGGGGGGTGGTGGATAGACCGGGGGAAGAGGAGGCATGAAGCTATAAATTTTCCTATCGCTAGAGGGAAGTGGGATGTAATAGACAGAGCGATGGATGCGGGGGAAGCGAGGGTGCCGACGTTGATGGGGGAGAGAGGCGAGGTAGTCAGGGTAGAGGGTGCAGAGGGTGTGGCGGATGGGAGCGTGGAAATCGTCAYATTCTTCACACGCGGGGATCGTGCCYGCRATGATGCAGTARACCTTTAKATTATTATACTCCTGCCAATCCATGCTAAARMGGAGGACGTGGAGGGGGRAGAAAGTGACGAGTGAGCAAGTAGTAGCATGCGGGAAGATGGTGACCARAAGGCAGGTGGCGTAGCGATGACAGAAGAGGGAGAGTGGAAATGGCTGCAACGTATCAGGGAACGGGGGTCCGCCTAAGAGCTGCTGAACGGTGAGGAAGTCACCGGGGCGACGGTATAACGACCAGGGACGAAACTTGAGCGCCCGCATCTCGACGTAGATGAAGGGTTGTGCTGGAAGCTGCGGAGGATTGGGAGGGYGATTCGCTTCATYGGCGGCGKCGGCTCCTTGWTYCCTCTGCGGCGGCGGCTCCATCCCACTCGTCTTCTTGTCGCGGCAGCTCCGGGTTGAGTGTCGGATTGCCCTGCAGCAGCTGCGACGGCGACCCTGATTCCATGATCGGTCGTTTGCCTTCTGCGGCCTCTCGCCGTCTCTGGGCCTCGGCTTCCCGTTCCTCCCTGGTTAGCTCGGCCAGTTCATTTGAATCCCTCGACGCGTTTTCTTCTTCGTCTGCCTCCTCCTCCGAACCGGCCTCCTCTAACTCTTCGTCCTTCGATCCTCGATAATCGGGATCAGATTTTCGATCTTCTTCCTCCACCGATGCTTCTTCTTCGTCGTCCTCCTCCTCTTCTCCACTCGTCTCTCCGGCAGGAGCACGCCGGATGAGCGGGTCCCACGTGGAAAGATCGGTGATGTCGACGTGTAGATACGCACCTGCCGAGGGCACGTAGTAGCTTCCTTCCTCCAACTCCGTACACGCGGGCTCCAACGTGCGAACGAGCGTGGCTGTCCCTGGCTTCTCCTCACAGTGCGAGAGAATCTTCAATGGCAGATCGTTGAGTAGTTGGCTCAAAAACACCAGCAACTCGTCCGTGATGGTCGCCAGGTGGCCGTCGTGCACTTCCCCGAACAGGATCCCCAGAAAATCACCCTCCATGTCCGTTCTCCAAGCTTGGACAAGCAGCAATTCTAACTCATCATCGGGGATCTTGTCCTCTTTGCATCTATCAGAGGGCTCTGCCCAGTGGAAGACGACGTGGAGGAGACAAAAACTGAGTACCATGTATGCTTGCCACCACTGCGTCCACTTGACCGCATCCAAAATCGGCACGTCCAATGGTTTGATCGTGAAGGACAGAGACGCTTCCACGACAGATTGCCGAAATGTAGGAACATCAGCGGGGAGACTGAAGGCAGAGAGACAGTGACGGTTCATTGAGGCCGAGCGAAGGGACAAAGCACTGCAAGGGCAACCTCTGGCGCAGTGAAGGAGACTCGAAGCTGAAGATCGAAGTCGTTCGTCGTTACGACGCGATCTCATGGTCGAGCCAACAGGCGCACCCACTCAGTCGTAAGGCGCGCTGCCCAGTCCGGCAGTTGTCGAATAACAGTGGTATGCCGTGTTGGGTGGAGTGTCAAATGTCACCTGTAAAGACGACAATGACCAACACGTGGCTCTTGCCGGGTGGGGACAGGCGCAAAAAGGCCGACACCTCAACCAATACTCGTGCCACCCTAGACTATCTTAATTGGAACTCCGGTGCCACGTAGATGGCCGCGGTACTGAAGAAGGCCGCAAATCTGAGAAGATCTGGACTCAACCGAGGATGTTGAACTTGTCGGATCACCGAGAAGGCTCCCTCAGGCACCATCATTCGCTCGCTGATCACCTGCTTCATCGAAAAGCTCATGGAAATAGGGGCAGAGTCGAAGAAGAGGATTCTACAGAGTCGCCATCCTCTTCCTGACCGAGGGACGATGTAGATGATGAAGGAGAAGGGGAAGAAGGGAGAGGGTGAAGGTAGGATACGTGTCGAATGATCGGTCGAGCCGATCGACTTCCCGACACCTCCGGTGCCAGCTGCACTGTGTTCACACCACTGGGTCCGAGCTCGACAACGTGAAATCACCCGAAGAATCGTGGCGCTAACTTACCCTGGCGAGCACATTTCCTCACCTGCATGGTGTCCCCTAATATGTACTAGGGCGGAGGCCCAACATTCCCATTTCGGGCCTCATAACTCTGAACCTATCTAACGTGGGCCATTTTCGTCATCCGCCGTCTCGTTCGGGCTAATCGGGGGAGGACCCTTTCCATCAACTCCAGATGGCGTTGGGCCATGTCCTTAACCGTTGCTCTAGTGGCCCGTCGCGGAAGGGCCGTTTCATCATTTAGGCTCGGAAGGGCTACACAGGCTACACTATTGGTCCGTAATTGGAAGGGGGTTAGGCCGGTAGACTCGTGAGGTGTTCCCCGATGAATGGTCAAGATGTGATCAACGATATCAGGCCAAGGCTTGGTGTCTCTAACGGCGATATTTCGTCGCAATGCAGTCCTTATCACTCGGTTCGCATTCTCGACCAATCCGTTCGATTGCGACATATGCGGCGTAGTATTACGAATGGAGACTCCTTGTATGACCAGACTCCTTAGGACCTGCCCTTGGAATTCCGCCCCATTGTCCGTTAAGATCTTTTCCATATCTTAATGAATTCCGGGGAAACGATTGACATATCGTGCGATCTTTGCCGTTTGTCTTGTCTTGCAGGGATACGCCTCGATACATTTCGAAAAATGGTCTACAAAAACCAAAAGGATTGAATACTCGCAGCTATTCGGTCCAGGGGGCACGACAATATCAGTGGTAGCTATGGTGACTCTTTGAAATAGTTGTTCAAGCGCGGTAGGAACTATCGATCTAGAAGGCTGAATCGACGCCTTGTTAGCGGTGCAGACGGAGCAGTTTTGGACGATGAAATTAACATCGTCGCGAATATTGGATCAATATTATTCAATGACATTTTTATCGATCGCCGCCTCTGTTATCTGGACGGCGAAGCGGGCCTCAGTCTCCTCGTGGGCCGACTTAACCTAGCCGTACCTCATGAACGGATGAGGCACGGACATCCAGATCCCGCTACCATCCATTTTACGCTTTTCTCATCTTCCTTCATTCCATCGATAGTCCCACGCCCTCTCATTGGCCCTCCACCTGTCCTCCTTAGTGAAGTCTCGGAGGGAGTTTCCAACTACCGTAGCTATTAGGATGACATATGTCCAAACTTCATCCCTTCTAAACTGTTGGGTCATTTCCGACCCTTCAGACGTGGCTTCAAGGAATCGAGCCTCCGTCAAAATTTTATCAGGTCGACATAAGGGGCATAATCAGGGTTTGACCGTATTTCTGTACTGGATGCAGGAACCGTGAGTTCGAGAGACACAGCGCTGACAATCTACCCATTGGACATATCCTTCCCCACTAGGACGCTGTCGGAGCGAACACCCTTATAAGGGTATTCGCTCATGATTTTGCATTTGACTTAATACCAACGCGGGTTACCATACCAGGGGTAGTCCAGAGTGAACAATAAGAWCTTTTCGGCATGGCGCCATGAAGCGAATTCCACGGCCATTGAGGYCRGGACAACCTATGAAAACATGACGTCACTGCACCAAGTGGCGACTACCAGTATTGRACTTCTAARAAAATGCCAACTTTTGTCTTCTTCTGCTCGATCTCGAGTATCCGGCACATTGACCTCTGTGTGGTGTGTTACTGGCCTATCCGCTACTTGAGTGTTTTTTGCACCGCAACYTTCGATATCATGGCCGCAGTCAAATACCGATGAAATCAAGTGCTCTTGTGAGCCCTACACACACTAAAGCYGACAAACACTCAGATAGGCACTCAGTCCGGCCACTACACTCAGATTTAGAAAACAGGCTCAGGTCACTAGTTGGGCTGAGCCCTAACACTCTATATCTATCCAGGGTGCCACATATCTACTCGAGATATGAGCTAGCTCAATAGGACTCGGGGCAGACTGTCAAACAGGAGGCATAGGGATCGAATCTGCCTCGGCCTATGAGCTAGCCTTTTTGCTATAACGAAATTCTACTTTTACCCCAACCTTGGGTGGCGGGGGGTCGAACCTGTAACCTTAGGATATAAATTAGTTTAAGGTTAGATTCGTTGGCCAAGTACAGTAGGCCCGACACTTGGTAGGTTAGGACTGTTGCCCATTAGATTTTGTTATTATTATTATTTTTTTATTACGGTGGGTTGTGGTTACGGTATACTGCACATCGTAGGAGATCGGGCTGCGTTGGCAGAGCAGGACACTTCGAGTGTTCGACTAACAACGGCGACGGCGACCGCGGAGTGAGAGGGAAAGCGAGGTAAGTTTCAAAACTAGTTACCTGTTACCCGATACTTCCATCAATAGGATGATCTGAAAACAAATGTATCTATTGCTAGAACGAGGGAATATACATGCCCAAACCCCGTGACTACCTCACACTACTTCCATCTAAACGATGATCTAAATAGGATGAATCCATCGCAAGATTGGGAGAAATGCACTCCTGCACATGTGTGTGAGTAAAGACTAGCGAAGGTTCTACGTCCTTTCCATCGAGGGGATGCACTAGAGCGTATGAATCTACCACTAGGACAGGGATGCATACAAGTTGCATGTAAGTGTAAACGTGGGTGTGTATGTTTGTGTGTGAGTGAGTGAATGTGCGTGCGTAAATCGCGTAGCGATTTCATGATTCCCTCTGGGAAATGTGCAAGATCAGAAGTATCCACTGTTAAAGCACGGGGACATACGTTGCTACTCCTACGCATGGGTGCGCGTGTATGCGCTTACGTAGGTGTGTGCATGCATGTGTACGCATGTGTATGTGTATGAGAGAGAGAAAGAAAGGCGTGCACACATCTGAATGGCACCGTGAAGGATTGACTACAGAAGGGACAGGGGAAGAACATCACGATAACGAGGAAAGGGGCACTGGCAGTAAGACGAGCGCTAAGAAGAAGAAGAAGGGGGGGAGGAGGAGTTACCTCCCTTACTGGCGATGAAGGCGATGTGTCGGGCATGAGACCTCATACTTGAGTTACGAAGGACTTCCTGTACACGTTTCTAATTTGCGAGAGACTGGCGAGTCATTCTTTGGTGGTCGATCGTACATTTTCGSAGCACCATGCGGGTCCATGGTTGCTTTTCTCGGAGAGGCTTATTTCACCGCAGCCCGGTCGTCGCTGGCGACTCTTGCGGTTGTCGGGGCTTTCTCATGAAGTGGTGCCAGGTTGTGGATTGTTGCGTTCACCCTCGCTCATCGTCTTGCGATGATTGACGCCTAATCACCGATGGCGTCCGTTTGCCCGTTACTTGCAGATGAGGGAGTCGATGGTGTGACTCACCGAATCTCTACTTCAGCACCCTCACTTTGGATGCATCGGACCGGTAAGATAGTATGTATGGATTATTTTCGCTCTTTATTATTATTCTTATTATCGTTGTTATTATTTTATTATTATTATTATTATTATTTTTATTATTTTTATTATTAGTATTATTAGTATTATTATTATATTATAGTAATTTGATATTGGCTGCGATTTCGGTGATGTAAGTACGAAGAAATAAACGCGAATACAGGCGCTACCAGGATAGCAAAACGTGAAAGGAAGAGCAATGAGGTTAGCAAAGATGAGGAACGACTAGTGGTAGTAAGAAATGGGGAGGAGTGAGAGAGCTAGTCAAACAACGTAAGTACGGATGCGGAAGTTAGTAAGGATGAGTGTGGGAAAGCAGGCTCGAGCAGTAGTAGAAGCAAGCGTGAAGTGAAGTGGAAGTCGACACGCGGTCGTGAGAGAAAGCAAACGAAATAACAAGCAATCAGACAAAAACGTAAAGGAAAATAAGAACGTGAACGGGATTTAGTTAGAACGGGGATCGAGGGAAATGAACAGGGGGAAAACGATCGGGGTGTAGAATGAGCAAGATCACAAGAAAGGAAAGAGGGATCGAGAAAAGAAAATACAAAAAGTCACGAGGAAAAGACAATCGTTCATCCCATGAATATACGACATCGTCATTTCCACAGTATCTAGTCAAAGCGGCAGTATATGTGCGTTCCGCTGTGGGGATTGAGAGGTAAGGAACACAACAGGATTATGAGGCGAGCATGAAAGATGGGGGATAGGAGGAACGTGTAAACGAGTGAGGCACGTCCCCCCCTCCGAGCAATTGGTAAATAAAGCTTCCTCTTATTCTACACCTTTCAAATCGTTTCATAGATCGAACTAGAGGTAAGTTCGGTCTAGATGATTCCTTTTTCGACTTTGATTCCCCCTAACTCGCTTTTTGTGGTGATAAATAGGGGTAAGGAGTTTTTTTTACATAGGAGAAATAGAAAGAGAGAGGGAAGAGAGGGACAAGAAGGGTCATAGCCGTTTATGTTAGGACTACATATATATATATATATATATATATATGTGTGTGTGTGTGTGTGTGTGTGAGTGCAGTCAAACAATATATATATATATATATATATATGTGTGTGTGTGTGTGTGTGTGTGTGAGTGCAGTCAAACAATATATATATATATATCGAGCGGCAGTGGTCGGGGCCGTCACTACGCGGCCATGCTGTGCCTCTAGTGTCAGCGGCGTGTCTGGAGTGTATTTTTTGGCTGTGATAGACCTTTCTTTGTTTCGTGGGTGTTTTGCTGGCTTGTGATGGGGTGTGAACCGACAGTCTGTAGAGTTTTCCATCTGGTTTGGGTGAGTGATAGTCTACTTTGATTTTGGTTAACGTGGATTATCACTTACAGTGTAATCAGTGAGGGGATTCTACAGACTGT